ATCAACAACTATAAAATGGAGCCACTGGAACATTAAAAGAAATGACACATAATAAGCAAAGATAAAGAAGTGAAAATATATGGAATTGGTCAGTGAAATGGCAAACATAAATCAACTAAATGGAGAAATAATAGAAATTGTCACATGAGGATGAGGTAAATTACACAAGGTCCATAAGAAAGAGAAAGGAAAATCAAAACTAAAAGACCAAACTGTTAAACAGAAAAACAAGATTCTCAAAAAATATGTTATAATGTATTGTCCATTTTGTTTCAATCACCCCATTATTTTGCTATTGTTACCATTATTTTTTCTGAATGCTCTATAGTGCTTTTCTTATTATTTGACTTCTTTTCTTTACTATGTATTTTTTTTCATAACTATTTTGATTTGTTGTAATTAAGCTCTGAATTTTTTGAAAATAACCTTTCTACTTTTAGGATGTAGGGATAAGGACCCTGCCCTTTCCATACTCCCATTTGTGAATTTACAATCTGAATATTGTTGTTGATGATGAAAAAAAACAGAAAAAACACTATAATGAAACAAATATATTATGCTAAAAAAAAAACAGCCTTTTCTTGTTGGAAAATGGCTATCTATGTAGCCAATTGAATCTCACTGTTTTAGTGTTTTCTGCGGCAGTATGGATGATGTTTTGCCACTTAAGCGGCCTTTTCTTGTTGCAAAAGTACACCTAAAAAAAGAAAAAAATTACACCATTCAAATTTAAAAATACTCATTCCATGTAAAAAATAAAAATAGAGGCAGACAATCTTTGTAATTTTTTCATGAAATAATGGACATATTTGAAATTGAAGCTCATTAGTCTTACCATGTAAAAAAGTTTCCAACAATTATAAAGGGATGAAAAGTTAATAAAGCTTTTGAGTTTTAAAACAAAGGATAACGACTGTTTTTAATTAGTAGCGACTTTTGAAGTGAAAAGCAGAAATTAAATAGGCCAGGGGTAGCATAACTCTTCTAATATGGACTCTTTAGAGCAAAACAAATAAATGAAAAATTAAAATACTCCCATCTCTCTTCATTTAAAATTCTAATTTTTTCATATACCAGTGAGGTCAAGATCACATTGCGACCAAACAAATTACAGATATATAATAGGAAAAAGGGTCTGATATACCCCTCAACTTTGTCATTTAGAGCTGATATACCCCTCGTTATGAAAGTGGATCATATATACACCCCTACTGTTATACAAATGGCTCACATATACCCTTTTCCTCTAACGGAAGTGAAAAACTAAATTTTGGTTTAATTTTTTAATTATTTTTTTAAAAAAATTAAATCACATATGGGTATATTTAATCCTCCTCAAACATATATTATTTTGTTTAACTTTTTTTTTGTTTCAATGACTAATTCAGATTTATTATTTTGATGGTCAAATTTATTTAAGTTTCGGTAATATTCTTGTAAAATTTATTATAGATGATCAAATTTTTTTCTTCAATACAAAAACTAAATTACAATATATCCGAAAAAAATAGTTTTTATTTTTTTCTTTACTCTAAGGAATGAAATAAAAAAATAAAATAAGAATAAGAAACTCAAATAATGATAATCAAGAAGTCAAAAAAAAAAAATATGTCCGAAAAAAATTATAACATACCTTGAAATTTGCTAGAAAAATCATATATACCCCTAAATGATTTATAAAAAAAATCAAAAGTCAAAAATATAAATTTAAAACTATTTTTTTCACTTCTGCTAAATGAAGGGTATATGTGAGGTCATTTTGTAACGGTAGGGGTATATGCGAGCCGTTTGTATAACAGTAAGGGTATATATGAGCCACTTTCATAACGAGGGGCACAGCTCCAAATGACAAAGTTGAGGGGTATATTAGACCCTTTTCCCTATATAATATATATAAATGAAAGGTTGTATGTTTATATAGAATAATTAATTCATTCGGTGAAAATATATGATCGAATTCTCAATTCGCTTAAAGCTAGGGGTAGCAATTTCAGCCCATATAAGTGAAATGGAGTCATTTTGCCCATATTAAATTAAATGGATCACTCATATTTTCTTAAATGGTAAATATGGACTTCAACCTATTTAAGCTCATACAAATATGGACAAAATGGATAAACATAAGAATCCATATATATCCATATTTCACTCTTTTATCATAAAAATCCCTAATTACACTATTTAATTTTTTAAAATAAAATATAAAAAAGGAGGTGGGGGTGGGAGGTGTAGTGGGATGGATGTGGTGGTGGGGGCAAAAGAATTTTTCTTTTGGAAATTTTTATAAAACTTTTTAGGGTGTGGGTGGGAGGTGTCCTAGGGTGGG